GAAAAGTAAGAAAATGATCTTTAAAATGTGAAAACACTGACAAACGGACGAGATTTTCAACTTAAATCCAGATCATTTTGGAGGAGTAAAGTTTTAATGAGAATGACTTTTAATATATATATATAATTATAAAACCTTCTACGCTGTTAAACTGTTTCCATCTCCTTTCACTTTTAATATTCCTGCAAGTGTGTCAAAATAAAAGCTCTGAGCACAGAGAGTGAAGTAATAGTAAAAGTAGTAAAAGTAGTGAGTGTAACACAGATTTCCCATAATCCCTCTGTGGCGTTTACCTGTGTCCTGGCCAGAAGCAGCTGTTGGAAACCTTCCACCTCTTTACTGTCGTCTGCTGCCCTCTCCTGGACACACAGGAACACAGAATAAAGCTCGATGAGAGTTTGAAGTGAAGTTTTGAAGTGAAGGGAAACAAACTGCTCACCATGAGGACGCTGAGCATCATGTCGTAGTTGTTGATGAGGAAGATGAGCTGATCTCTTCTGGAGGGAAACTCCGCCGCCATCCTCAGCACAAAGTTTTCCACCTCAATCTGGAGAACAAATAAACTCTTTAATCTGAGCAAATGTGGTGAGAAGTAACTAAAGGTCTATTTATTTGTGAATATGTAATTAAAATAGGTCCGTTTATCTGAATCTGTACTTGTAAAATTTCTTTCACCAGCACAGTGGAACAAATTTTACTCAATTCCAACAATATTTCACCATATTCTCATAAAGATCTTCCTCCTGTCTGAAGATTATTTCCAATCTTACTTTCATACAAACAGATTTATCTTTTATATATTTAACTGACTTTGCTACCAAAATATGTGTGTGTGTGTGTTACCAGCAGCTGTCCCAGCAGGTTGTTGGTTCTCTCGTTGGGAAACGTCTGGTTGATGCTGACGATGGCCGACGAGAACTCAGCGTACCGACGAGTGATCTGAAATCAGTAAAAACACACACAGTGAGATGCCAGGGTGTGTGCGTGTGTGTGTGTGTGTGTGTGTGTGTGTGTGGACCTACGTAGTGTGGTCTGGTGTCCAGTACTCCCAGTTTCTGAGGGTCTGTGTTTCTGATGCTGTGGATGTTCATCTCCAGGATCATCTCAAACCTCGGCCACAGCAGCTCCAGCACCGCCTCCCAGTACCTGACACACACACACACACTAATATCTTCATCATGTTTTGTTAACCAGCTTTTAAAAACAGTTGAGTTCCCAACAATACGCAGCAGATTTAAATAATAAGTGTCTGGTTAAAACACAGTTAAACATTTTCCAGGACAACACAGAT